CATCACATTTAACAGAATTATTATGATTCCTTAGTATCACTTAATACACAGTTGATAGTCACATTTCTCCAGTTCCCAAAATGTCCTTTACTATTGGTTTATCCACACCAGGATCCAGTTCAGAACCAGGCATTGCTTGCACTTGGTTATTATTTTTTTGAGCCTCTCTAAATCCTGGACAGTTTCTTGTCATGACACTTGACAAGCTGAAGGGCTGGATCCTTGTCCCCTTGCATGTCCTACCTTCTAGATTTACAGGATGTTTACCTGTGGGGCCACTTAGCTTATTTCTCTGTATTTCCTGTGAGGGAATCTCTATCTGCGGTTTTGATAAGTTCAAAATTCAATGTTCATAGGTAGATTGTAATGAGGAGTGCTATGTAGTTCAGTGGATGCCATCAGCAGACACCTATCTGGTTCACACCAGGAGTGGTGCTGACCCAGACCCTGAGGTAGCATGAGGACATCCTGACCTCCCCCTTGTGGACACAAGGTCATATTGGTATCATACAAAGGTCTAGTTATAGGGAGGGGAAAGTATAGGTGGAAGAAGAGATGACATCTGGGTAGATGAGAAAGAGCCAGTCATGAAAAGATGGGGGAAAGTGTGTTTGGGGCAGAGGATAGAGACCCAGAGTTGGTAGGAACTTAGCATGTTTAAGAAACAGAAGTGCCAGTGTGGTTGAACCTGGTAAGCAGAGGAGCAGTGGTGGATCCTGAGGTGGGTGGTCCAAGGGGAAGCCTTTGGAGGGATTTTAGCAGGAGGATGAGATGGTTTAAGGGAATTCCTTTGGGTGGGTGCTAGGGAGCAAGAGGAAAAGCTGGGAGCCAGTGGTGAGGCTGTTGCTATCATTCATTCAGGCAGTGGGGTTGGGGTTAGCAGGACCAGGAGGACTTGCTGATGGATTGTAAGTGGCAGGTGAGAAGGAGGAGAAAGAAACCAGGAGACTCTGAAGTCTACACCCTGACCATTTGGCAGGTGGTGTTTTCATGAACTGGGAGGGGAGTCTAGGGAAGGTGTAGGTTTGGACAATGCATTCGGGATTCAGTTTCTGGACTGTATGCCCCTGGCCCTTTAAGGCTGCAGAAGGTCTCCAGCATCCTTGCTGTACCCAGAAGATGGGATTAGTTAACTACCTGTGACTGGTTGCTTTACCTGGTGAGAACAAACTCTATAAAGGTCAAGGCTGGGCTTTAGACCTTGGCTTTGGTGCTAGTCACTGGTCATACTCCAGTTCCTCCCTGTTCTTGTACAAAACGACACACAGCTGGTCCAAGAAGGCTGCACTGAGATTGGAGCTGGATCAGCACAAAGTCATCTCTCCCTGTACAGGGAGCTCAAGCACTCTCCTAGCAGAATTCTGTGGCTGTCACATATAAGAGCATGTTAGCTTAAAAGCTTTGCTGAGGGCGGCACCTGTGGCTCAAAGGAGAAGGGCACCTGCCCCATATACTGGAGGTGGCAGTTTCAAACCTGGCCCCGGCCAAAAATTGGAAAAAAAAAAAAAAAGCTTTTGCTGAGTATTACCTGAGTGTACAGCACTGTACTAGTTTAAATGGAAGGATACATTTTTAAATCATCCCCAATTGAGAGAGACTGAATGTGTATCATTGGACTGTTATAAGCATTGTGTTACGATACCATAGTAAGAGCTGATAGAGTACAGAGTGAGAAAGAAAGGGAGTACAAAGGGAACCTGTGGGCCTGCTCTGCAGGTAAGTTGTGAGATGGGTCTGGAAGTGACAGACACACAATGGGTGGATTACTCTAACCAAGCCCCTCTCTCCTTTGTCTGCTCTGCAGCTGAATGATGGACAGTTCACAGTCATCCAGCTGGTGGGCATGTTGCGGGGCATTGCCTCAGGCATGCGGTACCTTGCTGAGATGAGCTATGTCCACCGAGACCTGGCTGCCCGAAACATCCTAGTCAATAGCAACCTTGTCTGCAAAGTGTCTGACTTTGGCCTCTCCCGGTTCCTGGAGGAGAACTCCTCAGATCCCACCTACACGAGCTCTCTGGTAAGGCTGAAGACTAGGGGTATGAGCTTGGACTGACACGCCAATTTATTTGGGCTGGGGGGAGGGAGGATGGAAAGGTGGGAGGCTGAGAGGTTGATGACTGTAGTCCAGGGAGAGGGTACAAGAGCAGACTACAGAGGGAGCATCAGCTTAGGGAATCCAACTTCCAGGTGTCTAGGGAAAGAACAGAGTTGAAGAGTTGGGGGCTTGGGCCTGAGCTAGGGAGGGAAAGCAAAGGGCAGAGGGTCAGTGTGCCTGGGTCCAGTGAGTCCTTTTCCTCCCTCTTCTACAGGGAGGAAAAATTCCTATTCGGTGGACAGCCCCCGAGGCCATTGCCTTCCGGAAGTTCACATCTGCCAGTGATGCTTGGAGTTATGGGATTGTGATGTGGGAGGTGATGTCGTTTGGGGAACGGCCATATTGGGACATGAGCAATCAGGATGTAAGTGTCCCATAGTCACACCAAGCTTTTTTTTTTTAGAGACAGAGTCTCATTATGTTGTCCTTGGTAGAGTGTTGTGGCATCACAGCTCACAGCAACCTCAAACTCTTAGGCTTAAGGAATTCTCTTGCCTCAGCCTCCCAAGTAGTTGGGACTACAGGCGCCTGCCACAAAGCCTGGCTATTTTTTTGTTGCAGTTGTCATTGTTGTTTAGCAGGCCTGGGCCGGGTTCAAACCCGCCAGCCTCGGTGTATGTGGCCAGTGCCCTACCTACCGAGCTATAGGCACCACTCATACCTGGAATGTTCTCTCACCTGGGATATGAGATGGAGGGTGGTGTTCCCAGAGTGTCTTCACTGCTGGGTCCTTGAGCTGGAGTGGGTAGCACAGAGAAGAGTTTATCTTCATATTAGAGAGTTTGCTACAACCTATTTGGGTCCATCCATCCACAGAAGGATGCAGAGATGGAAAGCAGGGTTGGGAGAAAGCTATGGTATGTCTACACCATAGCCTGATAGCTGCTGGGGCATCCAGCCACAGAGAGCTTTGGGAGCCTCAGCTCTTGGGGGGCACTAGGGGGTTGTGGTTCCCATCTCAGCATTTGCTAAGTTACCATCTCCTTGGGGCCCTTGGCATCTTCTTGGATAGCCTCACTGAGCACTTCTCCCTATCTAGGTGATCAATGCCATCGAACAGGACTACCGGCTCCCTCCGCCCCCAGACTGCCCCACCTCCCTCCACCAGCTCATGCTAGACTGCTGGCAGAAGGACCGCAATGCCCGACCCCGCTTTCCCCAGGTGGTCAGCGCCCTGGACAAGATGATCCGGAACCCTGCCAGCCTTAAAATTGTGGCCAGGGAAAATGGCGGGTGAGAATTTCAGAGAATGGGCCCTGCTCTCTGCAAACCACCTCAAGCCATTCTCCCTGCCTAGAAGTATTTATCCTTTTGATGATATGTGGGATAGTCTCTGTCCTCTGCAAGGCTGAGCTCAGCCTTCCACCCTGATTCAGGCCTGGTACTCATCATTCCTCCCCATCCCTGTCCCCCAGGGCCTCGCACCCCCTACTTGATCAGCGGCAGCCTCACTACTCAGCTTTTGGCTCTGTGGGTGAGTGGCTTCGAGCCATCAAGATGGGAAGATATGAAGAAAGTTTTGCAGCCGCTGGGTTTGGCTCCTTTGAGCTGGTCAGCCAGATCTCTGCAGAGTAAGTGGTGGCAGTGGCTGGAGGGGTGATGGAGGTTGCAGAGCAGTTAGAGGGGCACCCAGGAGCAGTGATGGTGGGGGCAAGAGTCAGGCCTGTGGGGTCTGCAGAGCCTTTGGAGTTATCTTCTGGTGCCAACTCTTGTTTCCTCCGAGGAGTGACACTAAGGAAGTTGCTCTGTGCCACACCCAGAAAAGCCCCAAGCAGTAACAGCCCCTGGGCTGAAACCCAAGGCTCCTGAGCCAGCATGCCCACCTCACCTCCTTCGGCCATTATGGCCCTGGGCCATCTCCTTTGGGACTCACAATCTGTATCAAACTTTGTGCCTCTATCTACATTCCAGACCCAGCTCTCACATTAACAATGTGTCAACTCTGGTTCTGTTTCCCACCCATAAAAGGAGAACATTGGACTAGGTTTTGGAGATCCTTTCCAGCTTTAACGTTAAATGGCTTTATGATTCCTTCGCCTTCCAAATATTGTTTATCCTTGCTTGGCCTCTGTCTGGTTCCCCTCCTTCCTGCCTAATCATTTCTCTCTGAGATCTCCTCTTACCCAGATTGAATAATAGAACTAAAAGGAATAGAAATCTGGAACAGGAGGGTCGCTAGTCAGTCTGCCCCATGAGGCCTGAGTGCTCTTCTCCCTGATTTGTCCTTTGTCTCCTGGCTACAGAGTCCTCTTCTCCCTCAGTCTCCAAGTGTCAGCAGCTCCAGGTCCTCTCTGTAGCTGTAATTTGTTCTCTGGGGCCTTTTCCTTCTCATTTCTCTCTACTCTAAAGCAATCTATGTGGCCTTTTTTGCCCAGCCTCATTTTGCTGGCTTTTCTTCCTCTTTCCCCTCCTTCCCCAGCCTCCAAGCTCTCCCCAGCCCCCAAGCAGCTGCACTGAAGGACAGCAGCCTTTCTGGCTCCTAAATCCTTTGGAAACTGCCCTGCACCTGTTGACGTCATTCCCCCAGCCCTGCTGGCCTTCCTGACTGGCTAACAATCCCAGGGCAGGAGGTGTAGAACCTTTGCCTCACTGAGCTCTATATTCCTCCACAGGGACCTGCTCCGAATCGGAGTCACTTTGGCTGGACACCAGAAGAAAATCTTGGCCAGTGTCCAGCACATGAAGTCCCAGGCCAAGCCCGGAGCCCCGGGTGGGACAGGAGGACCAGCGCCACAGTACTGACCTGCAGGAACTTTCCACCCCAAGGACATGGCCTCCCCTTCTTCCTGGGGCAAAGTGGGGACTCCTAGAGGCCCCCATCCCTGTGCCCCATTGGATTGCACTTTGAACCCATCTGGGTGGGGAGTTGGCAATTTGCAGAGACAGGACTTGAGGGTTCTACCATATGGGAGTGAAGAAATCACCCCCCATCAAGAGTGGGTAACCCCAGACCAAGGATGAGGGTGCATTTCCCTTGGGTCTGGATGTGACCAAAGGGAAAGGAAGGGCCCATAATCTCCCAACCTCCCCAGAGGGCTCCCACACCTTGACAGGTGTGTTCCTGCAGACCAAAGAGAGGGTGACTAGCCTGTTAGCTCCAGAGCAGAGCCTGTCCTCAAGGCAGGAAGGGGTACCATGGCCCAGTGACAGAATCATTGGGCTTTGATGTCCCAACTTGCTGCTGTGCCACCAAACTCAACCATTTTTCCCTTGTAAATGCCCTTCCCCCATCTGCTGCCTTCATATTGAAGGTTTTTGAGTTTTGTTTTTGGTCTTATCCTCCCAACCCCAAACCTTTTGTTTTGTTCTTCTACAGTCCTTGTCATAACTTTTTGTGTTAGAGGTCACCTGTTTCACTGTCGCATTGCCTCCTTTGCCCAAGTTGAAACAGGGACCTGTCCTCGTGTCTTTCCAGAACAGTGCCTTGGTCACACCACAACCCCAGACATTCCCTTGCCCCCCCCCAAACCCCTTCAGGCTGTGTCTGTGGGGGGTGATTGGTGAAAGGGGCTATGAGGTGGTGGTAGAAACCAGAGACAGACACTGGTGCTCGGAGGGATTTTTAAATTATATTTAAAAAACAACTTTTTGTATAAATAAAAGAAAATGGGATGTGCCCCAGTTCTGGGAGTGATTGGGAGCCAGGATGGACTAGACTCTGGGGAGAATGGTGTTTGGATCTGGAGGACTTTATGGCCCACCAAGAGGAGTCAGGAGTCTGGGGTTAGCAGGGCTTCGGATGGGAGAGGGTTGGGGGTGTGGTTCTCAGCCTCTGGGTGTGTTTGAGATGGGGGTAGGGGCCTGGGAGATGAGTCATTGGCAGCTGCTTCTAACCACTCTACTGGTTCTGCCAAGAGCCTGGGGCACCTCCGGGGTGGGGCTGCCCCCCTTCTTCAGCAGAGGCAGGGGGCTGTGAGAGGGAGGGGAGGCCTCTAGCAGCCCTGCCCTGCAGCCCTTAAAATGGGAGGGGGGCACAGACTGGGGCAAGGGGCCCATGAAGGAGACAGATGTGGGCCAGATGTTGACAGCTGGGGCTGGTTTAGAGGCTGTGGGGGAGAGTGTCTGCATTAGCTGTGGGGGGAAGGGAGAGGCAGAAGGGGACCCCCCACATGTGTACACACACACAGAGAGAGCTGGGCTGGGAGGACAATTCCTCCATTCAAGATTCTGCCCAGGTAGGTTCTCCTAGCCTCTTGGGAAGGGGAGGAGGAGCCCCATGTGTGTCACCTCCAGCTTCTCCCTCCCCAACAGGAAGATGATGGGCTCAGCCCCCACTCCAACTGCCCCGTTTCTTTCCCGCCATCTTCTCAGCTTCTTTCTTTTCTGCTGGAGTCTGCCCTGCCTCTGGGACACCTGCAGGGACAGGCCTGGACAGGGGCAGGTCTTGTATAGTTGAGCATCTGTTCCCATTTCTGCACCCTCGTCGCCCCCTGGTGTTCGGTGAGGGCCAATGTGGGGCCCCAGATCACATGTTGATCCTTTTCTGGCCCAGGGAGCTTTGGGCAATGACCTTGTTTCCATTCCTATCTCTGACGGTCTGGAGTCCCTAAAACTCTTGAGTCCTGTCCCCTCTCTTATAGTGATACATCACTACAAGGGGTGGTAGGGTCTAGGTCCTGTAGAGGAAAGGATATGTGTGCAGGGTGTGTTGGCCCAGGCCCATCCCTTCCCCTGTCCACCAAACATCTGGGCTAGAGAAGGGGACTGAGAGGAGCCAGCTCAGGGCAGGGGGGTGGCTGAGGCCCCATGATGCTCAGCTCCAAATGGCTCCCCCACTATGGGAAGGGGAAGTCCTGCTGGGCAGGGTGCCTGGCCAGGGGCACCCTTTCCTTCATGGGGCCCTTTCTTCCTGCAGAAGTGGCCGTCTCTGAGGATAAGCACAGAGTAATAATGCCTTTCTAGAACCCAGTGTCCTGCCTGCTTTGGTATCTCCAAACCCTTGTTCCCTTACTGTTGGGGCCCTACATCCTGACCCTTCCCCTGCCCACTTGGCAACCTTATTTTCCTTCTTAGGGCCCCTCCCCCAAGAAGGCCTGATGGGTCTCTGTTTGGGGGGGGGGGCGGATTTGCACCTTGGCCTCAGGCTACTTGAATAGATGCCAGCCTGCCCCCAGACCCCACCCTCAGCTCCCATAGTGACCCCAGGCCCTTTTGGGAAATGGACAAATGGAAGGTGAGCACCTCCCCAGAGGTTTCACCCTTTGGAAAAAGCCAAGTTCACCATCTTTAGTATCTAAGCAGTAATTTTTTTCATCATCAGAAATATAAAACCCCAAATCACCTTTCACGACCCTTGGTATGGAGCTCACAGGCCGCGTACTTCAAGGCTCCTGGGGTGAAGTCTTTTCTCTTGTATTGGAACAGGGGCCTGAGGCTGGGGCCCACCCTTCATTGCTCTTCCCTCCCTGCCCTTCTGTCTGCCCCTGCGATGGTGACCTCCCAGGGCTGAATGGGCTGTTCCATGTGCCTTCCTCCTGCTTTCCTGAGAGGAAGCCACATGGAAGGTTCTGTCCTCCTTTATATTTCTCTTCCCAAGACCCCCTTCACAGACCCAGTTTCCTCCTCCATAATTACACAGCAATCCACACTTCAAAAATAAATATTTTTATTTTGTCTCCTATTTGAAGATAACTCAAAACTGAGTGACTTTGAAGGCACACTCTGGCATGATACCTGAGGAAAAACCAAGAAAACCTATTAGAAAACCTCAACATCAGCCCCAAGGTTCTGAGCTGTGGAGTTGGCTCTCACCTGTGTCCAATCCAGCCAGCCCACCTCTGTCGTGGCTCCATAACTTCTCCCTAGGAGGGGTGGAGTACAGGTGTGGGTCCCCAAGTGGCTTTAGGCCCCACCCACCCTTTCTCACCTCTTCCCAACTAACCTCCTCCTCTTCCTCACTCTGTTAACGCACTCTCTGGTCACTGCCAACACTATGACGACCACCGAAGGCACCAGGATTCCCAATAGGACAGCCACAGAGTTGGATGAGTCTGGGTGTGGAGAAGAGAAAAAGGGACATGAGATAGGAAGAGGTGGGGACTGAGGGATGGGGGAGGGCCTCAGGCCCCTGCATTTCTGGCTGTGGCTAGTTCTCCCTCCAAGAGGCTGTCACCCCCCAGGAACTCCTAGGCCTCAATGCCAATCCCCGCAGCAACCCACAACTCCCATTTAGCCTTTTTAGAGGGCTATCCATCCAGCTGGTGCCCTGAAGTCAAGAGAATCACCTGGATACTCGCTGAAAATGCAGATTTCTGGGCCTATTCCAGACCTAACAGTTCTGAATCTCTGGGGGAGTATCCTAGAATGTACATGTTAAACAAGATGCCCCTTCCATCTTAGGTAAGAAAAAGCTGGAGAACCATTGGTCCCAAGGCTCAAGGCAATCATGGTTTTGGACAAGGGAGAACAATAAAAGGCACTGAAGAGGCACAGAAGGACACAGGAGGGGAAAACAACAGCAGGATGTAACACATAGGTCCTAGAGGAAGGCTGGGGTCCAGAGAAGATTCCAGAGTATTCAGGTAGGAGATAGGCACAGGTTCTTTGAGGACTCTTGTCCTGCTATGATCCTCATTATAACAGTATATGTAGTATAGAACTATATACATATAACATATTAATCTTATTATATCTCTCTCTCTTTTTTTTTTTTTTTTTGAGACAGAGCCTCAAGCTTTCCCCCTGGGTAGAGTGCTGTGGCATCTCAGCTCACAGCAACCTCCAACTCCTGGGCTCAAGCGAGTCTCCTGCCTCT